CTGGCGTGGAATTATGCTCCTGTCCATCCCAAGCAAAATACTAAGCCGCATCATCCTGGAGAGAATCAAACATGCCCTGGATGAAAAACTTCGACCGGAACTGTCTGGATTCAGGAGAAATAAGTCATGCATTGATCAGATCGCCACATTACGGATCATCATTGAACAAAGCTTGGAATGGCAGTCACCTCTCTATCTCAACTTCATCGACTTTGAAAAGGCCTTTGACAGCGTCGATCGAGAGGTGATTTGGAAACTACTTCGCTACTACGGGGTGCCGCCGACAATTATACATTTCATTCAACAGCTGTACGACAATGCTGCATGCCAAGTAATCCACAACGGGAAACTTACGGAACCCATCTAAGTGAGGACAGGAGTAAGACAAGCTGGCTGCCTACTATCGCCAATGATTTTCTTGATTGCAGTAGACTGGATAATGCGACAGACAGCGGGCAATGAGGAAACAGGCATAAAATGGACCCACACAAACATATTGGAGGATCTGGACTTCGCCGATGATATATGTCTGATTTCCCACAAACTGGAAGATATGCAAGCGAAAAGCAACAAGTTAGCAGAAGAAGCATCCAGAGAAGATAAGACTTCAGGTGAACATGGAGAAACAGAGATAATGAAGATTCCTGGACAAGAATAACAACAACAACAACTGACAAAAATCAGCATAAATGGGAGGAACCTGAAAGGAACAACCTCTTTTACCTACCTTGGAAGCATCGTTTCAACTACAGGCGGAACTGACGAGGATATCAAAGCAAGAATCGGAAAAGCAAGACAAGCTTTCACTACTCTCAAGTCTGTGTGGAGCACTGAGCACTCAGCATGAAAAATAAGATCCGGATTTTCAACTCCAATGTAAAGTCAGTCACTGCTACTATACGGATCACAGACTTGCACTGCGCGTCATAAAGAGCATCTCAAACAAACTACAAACCTTCATTAACAGTTGTCTTCGCTCAATACCACTCAAGATCAGATGGCCAGAAAAGATCAGCAACAGGGATCTCTGGAGATGAGCGAACCAACTCAGCAGGAACCGATTGTGAAACAAATAGGCAGGAAGAAATGGAGATGGATTGGCTGGCCATACTCTGAGGAAACCATCAAGTGACATCACTAGACAAGCCCTTGAGTGGAACCCGAAAGGGAAGCGGCGAGTTGGTCGTCAGTGCGAGAGTGACTTGGAGGAGGTGATGTGAAGAGGAGATGAAAACGTGTGGGCAGACTTGGAGCCAGGTGAAGACTCTAGCAGAGAACAGAACGCAGTGGAGACGCACGGCTGAAGCCCTATGTTCCTGTAGGAATTAAAGGATACAATAATAATAATAATAATCATGTAAGTCAGACTCTTCTCTCAATATTATCATTCGCTCATATTAAAGTTTCTAATCAGTCTGAGTAATATTCAGCGTGAGCATTAATCATGAGCATTCATGATTGCTTTATATATACACATATATATATTCACTGGTATTTACGATCATTTAATGTTGAAATCCGATGTTTAATTTATTGTTATGCTTATGCATATATTATCACATATACATACACGAATGTTTTGACCTATAATCTATTAACAATCTATTTTCGCATATACCACTTGGAATTTCGATCATAATGATTCGACGTTATTTTTTTATTTATTTATTTTTTGAAAGCCATTAGCGTCGTCAATAACAATTATTATTCTTTGAACCTAATAAAAGGAATTTATGGAAAATAATATTGGCAGAAGAATAGAATGTGGGCAGTGTGGTCGAATATATTTCCATTGTAGAATAATAGGTATTATGGAGATATGTAGATGGCACTTCTACGCTGTTAAAAGCAGAATATATCACTAGTTTCTTCATATTGCTGACGAAATCTCAGCATGGATATAGAAGGCTAATTTGGCATATGACTACTTATGCCATCTCTGGCTTAGTAGACGTGATATCTGGCTGGCAATCAACCAAATGGCGTGTGGTGTCGGTCGGTCGGTCGGTTTTCGACATAGAACTTTGCACATATGTGCGGCAGTTCAAGTCGCCACAATCTATGTAGCACGCAATGCAAGAGAAGGAAGTAGAAGTAGCAGTTAGCTCTGTCCTCCTTTATGGCTGGCTGCGAGTGAGACATGGCCATTGAAAGCGGAAGATATGAAAGGCCCGGCTAGTTGTCTTTGATTATACGTGTCTGAGTTTTATTGCCCGTGTTAGATGGTATAATAGGGTGGGTGAGTATTATTTAAACTAGGTATTGAGTGCTAGGTAAGGTCTGAAGGTCAATTATTGAGGTTTTGAAGTGGTTGCATCGATTGAGATGACTAGGACATGTGTTAAGCATGCATGCCTAGCCACCGATCGTCTTCCTTGATGACATAGGATGGATCGGGTTAGGAAAAAGATAGCTAAGATAGCCAAACCGAAACATGGCTTTATTAATCAGTGAAATCCACAACAGTTAGTTTGAGGTAGCCACGTTGGGAGGTATAGACTGGCTTCTTGGTTGGGGTTTTCAGGATGTTAAGAACCAATGAAGGCTGGAGACAGTTGGTGATATGGCTCAAAATCGTCGTAGTCAATGGCGCAAATGCATTCACTCTTTGTGATTTATAATACCTAATAAAATTATATTGTTGTTCCATATTACTATTCTTTCACCCCTCCACTCACACCTCTGTTTATCATCTCTCTTTTGAATCTCCCTTCACTTTCTTTTCTTGCTCTGTGTGCTACATGGAGGTAGAGTGGCGACTTGAACTGCTGAACATGTGTGCAAAGTTCTACGTTGAAAGTAGTCAGTAAGTCAGATATATAAACTCAATAGTAAGCTGGTAGGATAATAAAATTTACATTTAAGTCAGAGTATGAACAAGGAGAATTAGCCATCATGTTAGATTGTAAACTAAAACGAACAGAAGAAGAGAGACTATTCACTAGTGTTTATAAGAAATCAACACACTTCAATAGATATTTAGACCTAAAACCATCTCATCTGCCTTTTGTGAAGGTAGGTTTAGTTAAGTGTCTAAAAAACCGAGCAATGATTATAAATAATACATTAGAAAATCTAAATAATGAAATAAAAACCGATAGAGGAAGCGTTCATATTAAATATCACATAAAATTCACTTTAGGAAGATAAAATAAAAGCTCAAAAGGAAAAGAAAAATAATAGTGGAACTATTGACCATAACATAAATAAGCAAGAATTTAAGGTATCTGCAGCTTTATCATATAAAGAAGGGAAATAATACAGTTTACAAAATACCTTGCAATGATTTTGACTGAGATCGACTATACAGATCATACCAGTAGATCAGAGTCAGTCAGGTTATATGAACATAAAAAATTAGTGAAGTATAGAATGACTGAACCTCAGAAGATGAATAGCTTAGAGACAAAGTCTAGAATCACAGTGAACGCATTGAAACACAATCACACAATAGGGTAGAACATAGGTACAGTTCTAAAAAGTAATAAGGTTAGATGGAAGGAGAGTTTGACCAGTGAATACTTATTCATCAAATCTACACCTACTACGTTCATTAGGAATGCCTCAGTGCCAATATCAGGGATACGGAAAATACTACTTACTATAAAATCAAAGAATAATATATGATGGAATTATATAAACGAAGTTTGAAAGTTGTTTGAGTACTTCTATAAAGATGATTATGAGCAATACATTAGGCATATTTGACCTTTTAAGTTCGAAAGTCTTTAAAAAGGATTACTACTGAGCTCCTTTTGGCCCTGTAAACAGACTAATCGTTTTCTTTCTGTAGTTCCAGCGCAAAAGTGTTTAGAAAGGACAGGCTTATCTGTTTTATACTGTCGGTCAACAAACAAGATGCAGAGATTAAGAATTCGATTTGTAACCTCTCTTTTTACAGTCGTATACTGACTATAATCAAAAGGGTAAATGTCTTTAAGTAAATACAGTAGTAAAATGTCTATCTTGTGACAAAATGAGTTCTTAAGTCTTTTCAGAGCCAAGCTTTGATATGAAACAGAAAATTCTATTATTGTCAGTATAAATAGCTGTCACGATTACGCTTGGGATGAGAGAAAGTATTCAGATGTCATTGACTTTTACAACCTGAGAAAAATTAATACCTTGTAATGACTGATAGATCAACCTGATTCTTAGCACAGAAATACATCAGTTAAAGTTTCTACACTTCCAAAAAGTACGAAAAGCAGGGGAACAAAAACAAAACGATACTACAAATGAAAATCGTGTTATATCCAAATTGGATAAATGCAAACAAGTTGTAGTAACTTGATATGATTATGAGCAATAGTTTGTGCTCGAAACGTCATCAGTTAATATTACTCCATAACACTGTGTGATTTTATCAAAATAAAATCTTATTCATAATGGAGTTATACTCTACCACAGTGCCCAAGTTTTATACTTATATCAATAATTAGCCTTGATCTAAAAGATAGTTCAGGTCAGCTTAAGACAGCTCACAAGACAAGAAGCGTTATTTAGTTGTCAAATTAAAAAAATTGATTAAGAAACTACGTCTGAAATCTTCATTAAATTATAATTAACAAGATGAATCTTTGATAGTGTATAGCATCTTAGAAATCACTTTGGACATTTATATTTTTCATTCTTACCTAAAATAGTGAAATAAATAAAAAGGCACAACACCACAGTACAATAACTAGCAAGAAACTAGATTTCAGTGAGATGCTGACTGAGTTATTTAATCTTGTAAGTGAATTCCGGAAAATGTTAGGTTTATATTCAGAATTATTCATTCAGTAGAGTGCAAAATTATATCACGTCCTTGTTGGAAAAATGATTTAACATAGACTTCAGTTTCTGTAAAAAATCTTTGGGCCAGAAAACTTAGAATAATTCGAAAACTGAGGTGGTACGCCGTAGCGTTCTAACTAACAATACTTAGGAAAATTTTAAGTGAGTACTTAATAAGTGAATTTAGTAAATTATATAATTAACAATTTACTCTGACTTACCAGTAAGGACCACCATTCGCAAATGACTTTTCACTGGCAAATTCAGTTCCTTTATAACCATTCACTTGTTCTCTGGTTTCATACCCATTAGCAGGTGTTTTATTTAATTGGCTGTATTGATCACTTAATCTTACGCCACCATTGTTCTGACTGTGTACTAAACGTGAATATATTCTTTGCATTACTGAACTGTCTAACGTTTTTCCTTTCAAGCTATTTTCTAGAGCATCAAGGATATCTGCAGTTACGGAGATAAGTGTTTGATAGTCTGTTTGAAGTCTGGCAAACCGTTTCTGAGATTGGGCTGCTCGTTTTTCAGCATCTGAAAGCTCATTCTACAAAATAGAAGGAAAATTGTGATGAACATACCGAAAGTTGTTTCATTAAACGGTCTTGTTTAGCATTTGGTCTGGTTACCAAATTAATTAAACGAGGAGTTTTAATAGTGTTCGGTTGAATAACAGAGTCAATAAATCTCGAAACCCTTGAAATAACGGATTTACGCCAAGATTCTTCAAACAACTGCTGATATATTGGATGTTCATTAGGTTTCGGTACGTATGGAAGTGCATAGTAAGCCAAAAATTCTGTGTTCTGACTATGTACAGAGCCTTTTGTCTCTAAATATTTCTTGAATTCTTGCATTGCTGCCTGTCTTTCATCCTTTAAAAAATTATTAACACCAACGATAAATTACATTATTGTAATCTTGCCAGGATTCGGTCAGGAAAAACAGATGGATATCGAATTCCAGTCGCATAAACTCCTGTCCCTGAAGTGTAGTATCAGGTACTATGTTGAACAAAGCGTCAAAAAATTCATTCTTTTTGTTGGCCTTAAGCAGACTTAAGACTTGTTGCTAAATTGGTTAAAATCTTAGCACCACTGATTTACCTTTCTTTTAAAGTCAGACGAAGGTCTCCACTGATCAATACTCACATCTTGAAATATGCGAGATTCTTCTGTAAAAGCATTGAAGCTCTGACTGAATTGATAGTACTCCAGAAACTAACTAAAAATATAAGTAATAATTGCAGAAACCTCTTTCACAAGACCAATAACATTTGTGTCAACATCAACCATCTCTTCTGTTTAGCGCGTAAACACAAATCACCATAGAATTTTACATTGTAGGTCATTTTTTTGGTATTTGAAGGTCAATATTGTAGTGTGTTCAAATTCTCAAAGGTGGACAAGAATTTGTGCGTAATAACCTCAGTCTAAATGGGTTTGAATGCTGGATTGAGTGAAGAGTCATTTTCACTCTTCATGTTTCCACATTGTTCATTTACGTTTCCTATAGGTTCCTCCTTGTCAATGTGGAAAAGCATCCAAATTCGTTTTTACGAGCTAGTATAAGCTAACTTGACTTCTTTTTGCTCGCTTCTTGATTATGAGGTGAAGGTTACTTGTATTCGGTAAACTTCTGCGTAGTTCGTCCAGCCACTCGACTGTCGTAGCTTTGATTAACTCCCAAAGGAGTGGTTCTGGGATTAATTATATGTTGTTTTTAGTATGCAGTGTGTCAAGACTTTTTTACTACTGTAAATGGAGTTGATCTTTTCACCAGTAAGTTCTCCAGTATCGTTGTCAAAGGAAAAGATATAATAATAATGGAAATAGTAGTGTAAGTTATTCAGACTCGAAGACAGAAAAAGAAAAGGAAACGTAAAAACAGACGGTCAGTTAAATTTGAAGTTAAAGTATATATACATAATAATAATACTGCATAAGTGTAGTGGTTGGAGTAGTCAGGAGAGTAGAAAAGAAGAGAATGTAAAGAAGTAAGACGACGAATTTAATTGTTTACCCATGAAGGGTGTGTGAAATTTTAAGGAGATAGGCCATTTGACGCAGTCCGTGTCGCTGAATGATTGTTCAGACTTCGCTAAAAGGTGTCCACAGACGGCGCCATAGCCACATCTGCCGGTAAAGAGCTCGAGGCGGGTAAAACCCGCAGTGAAAAGAAGTGAGAGCGCACCCGGGTCCTCGCCCTCTGGTGAGCTATTCTTTTGGGATTTCCACAAGGAAGCCTATACGTACTCAATGGCAGAACACCCTTTTTGAGTGATTCTGGTCATTCGTAATCTTATAGGCAGTAATCAAATTCCTTCTAAGCCGACGGTAGCTAAGCTTGAATAGGTCCAATTTCTTTAGCCTTTCATTATGCGGTTAATGTCGGAGACCGACCACTCCTTTTGTCGCCCGTCTTTGGACTCTTTCCAAGAGGTTGGCGTCTCTTCTTAGCAGTGGGGGTGCAATGATATTATGCACTTCAAGGTGTGGTCTGACGTCTGTTTCGTACAACCTTAGAAAGAGCTCATGAGTGATTGAACCTGCCTATGTGTGAAGTGTATGGCCGCATGTGCCCCCGTCATATCCCCCTGTGTAATTTACGCTTGTGTCCGTTTTTCCGTCAGAACTAGACCTAAGTCACGCTTCGACGTTGTGCAGGACAAGCTTTCGTTGCGCAGGGTGTAACTTGCATTCTGCAGCCTACAAGTATGTAATTCCACTACTTTGCACTTTTTCAGGTCGAAAGTCATATCGCTGGCCACCGCACAGTCTTCCAGAAGCTTTAGAGCTATCTGCAGCCTATCTGAGTCTTCCAAACTTGCCCTCAATTTTTTGACGTCGTCAGCGTGTGGAAGAGTCAGGCAGCCTAGACGGCATCCGAGGTCATTGATAAAAATCAAAAACGTCAGTGGTCCTAGGATAGAACCCTGCGACACCCCTGATGACGAGCTGTGCCAAGATGATAGGACTCGATTGACCTTAGTGCAAAATTTCCTTTCAGCTTGGTAGTCCTTCAACCGTGACAGAGCGGCTAACCTACACCTGCCTGACCTATTTTGTGTAAGAGAATGTTATGCTGAACTGTGTCAGATGGCTTCCTAAATTCAGGAAAGATCACACACAGGAACATTCATATACCAGAATGATGTCCAATCATTCCAAGCCGATAGTAAGTTTGTTACACAGAGTCCGCCTTTCCCAAAAACCATGTTGGGCTTCATGGAGTCTATTGGTTCTCTCGAGGTGCTCCCTGATGTGGTCATCAACAATAATTCCCAGTACTTTTGATACCATTGCGAGTTGGACTACTGGTATATAACTAGTGGCATTTCGCCTATCCTCACCCTTGAAGATCGGAGAAAGGAAAACTCTTTTCCACTCCCTTAGCAGTCTCTCTGAATCCCTCGAATGCTGGAACAAGTCGCATAAGTACCTACTGAGAGCTTCGGCTCACTGTTTCAGGACAGATGGCCTGATGTCGTCACAACCTGGGGACTTTCCAGACGTGAGTCTCTTGAACTTCCATAGTACTATAGCGGGACTATTTGGGGGGTATCCACTAGGTTTTCCCCCAGTGAAATAGTAGAGCATGTTAAAACCTCTCCACGACTTTCTTTCTGCAGGTTGTGCTCCTAAAAAGAATTCGAGGAATAGCAGGAAAATGAGCTCATATCCTGTTATACTTGTTATTAATATATTATGGAAGTTATGACTCTCGGTGTCTGGGATGCAGTTAATAATGCCCCCAAGTGTTCTGCCAAAAAATAATGGGGCGGATTTAATGAAAACGTTAACTATCTTTCAGCACATACAAAAAGGAGGCAATTTACGGTGTAAGAGAAGTGTTTAGATATTTTTTATGCATCAGTGTACAGTGGGCTGCATTTTCGTTGGTTCAGTATGCATCGGTGGGACAGCGGTAGAATTCTCGTCAATCACGCCTCATATGGTCCGGAGTTCGATCCTCGGTCACCAACGCACTCCTTCACCTCGCTAAGCCAGTAATAACACTGGTAAAGAGGGAAGGTTTTGGGGCATGAAACTAGCAACTAGTATTAATATATGATACTTCAAGATTGTAATTTATAACATAACTGATCATGTCTGTAAAAATGACATGCATTTCTTGCAAACACCATTTTATACGACATATAAATTATTGTTATTGCAAATACCCGGCAATTAAGCTGGCTTGCTGTAAGTAGTATGATGCAAAAGTGTACTGGGAGCGAAATCTATTGAATATGTTCGTCACTATAAGTGTGAGTTTACACTTTAGGAAGTTGTTCACATGATAAGTAGAGGGAAAAAGCAAAGTCAAAAGACAATGTGTAGTTGAGAAAATTGCTTAATCTGAAACATAAAATACTAAGTGCGCTCAAAGTCCCACTATGAGGGGAAGTGATGGGAGCTGTATTGCTGTGACGCTAAAGTGACTTTTTCATCAATCTATCCGAGAAAGCCACTGATCAGCCCAACAATTCCACGAGTGAAAGCAAGTAAAGACTTATCATTAGGTGTAACATTTCAGGGTATGTTCACACTTGTCCAGAATGCCAGTTAGCGGTGGTCTGTTCATTTGATCACCACTACAGATGATTTTGGCAGAATCAATCGAAAACTTGTGGTCGGCAGAAATAAAGGGTCCACTCTTCAAATATAGAGTGGTTATAAATACTGTATGATAATGACAAAGCCTGTCGAACGCCAAGTGGATGTTGTAGCAATTTAAGACAAGCGTAACAATACCATAAGTGCAGCTGCAGCGATACATGTCTTCACAAATCATGACCTACCAACACCAATGTATGATCACAGCCCATGTTCTGAGAATGGAAAGTTTGAGGCTAGAATGCAGACTTTGGCATTGAGAAAATAAGAAAGTCAGTACATTGCCGCTCTGCCAGTGCGAAAGAGGGGTTGTAAATTTAAGTAGAGGTGAGGTGCGATGCAGAGCGACCGGAATACGAACCTGGGCTGTTACAACAAGTAAATTGTGCCTTGATACGAAGGAAAACGAAGAAATTTCCTTTCCACTTCATGTGCGGCAAGAAGGCATGTCTTCGGTTGAACCACAAAATCTGGTCAGAACAGCAGAAGTGAGAAGGTATTAGACGCTATTCTTCAAATGTGATAGATACAACAGGGTCGAAAAGAGAAGCCTGAGTGGCAGCCAGGTGTACCAACAATAAGACGATTTAGTGCGCAACGAAAATGACTTTATGGAGGTGAGAATGGTGTGGGTTATCTTTAAGTAAATTTAATTGGTACACTCATTTGCTTCTAAAGAAAGTTAACGATAATTTGCACTGCAATGAAAAAGCCAGTGAGAAATAAACGTGGAGACACAAAATCAATAAAAAGAGATTAGTGTGAAACGGACAATTGGTTATGCTATTATCAATCTCATCATATTTATGTTGTGTGATACAGATGATATGTGCCAAAGGAATATTATTCTCACAGTATTGAACTGTGGGAATATGTGAGAATAATATTCCATCGGCACACATTGTCTGTATCACACCACCACAATATTAATGTGTTAAGCATGTTCAATCTTGCTTTGTAGTTATGTGCGGTTCGTGTTCAGTAGTAGGTCAGAAAGTTAATGGAATCTCTACTTAAAAGAGAAGCTGGGGATATCGAAATTCTATAAAGAACCTGAAATTTTCCTTTTAAAATCACTCACAGAACGAAAGCACCAACACTTCTAAAACGGTTGCTTCATTGTAGTATACTAAGAGAGCATCACAACACTAAAGAAGTCCTCGTTCATGGAAGTTGCAGAGGTGTAATTTAATTTGAATTCGAGACGTACGCTGGTACAAATGTTGGCGTAACGTGACTGTGGTTGGAGAATAATGGTTAGTGGATACGAGTTTTTAAACAATGCCAGGCAATCAAAGACGATTAGGAGGAAATACAACTGTCAAAAAATAAATGCCATAATAAGGTTTCACAGTAAAAGATCCTGCAAAATGCCTTCTATGTCACGCAGGTTATTGTTATTGGTATTACTACTATCCTCACCTTATACTCACAGGTAACACTAAACTCCATCGTTAAATATTAGTGACACCAGGTTCTCTGCTTTCAATTTCGACTGACTCTACGAGCTCATGAGTTTTGATTTCTCGTTCATTACCTGATCTCCTCCATTACATTCTCGAAGCCAAGCTCTCCATTGTCCCTGCACCTGAGATATTGTTGTCTATGTTGTTGTTAGTGTTAGTGAACACTGGGTGGACTTTCGATGAACTCATTTGTTCTTACCAGTTTCCTGTTCATTGAGGGCAATAATTCATGTCGGGGCTCAGGAGTTCGCTCATCGACAGAAGATCTGAGC